CCTGGGACACCCAATATTCATATACTTTGCCCTATACGCTGGATGGTAAGAGCAGAATCATTTTATTCCATATCTGAAAACTATGAAGCTCTACAAGTTGCTTGGGAAGAAGCTAAATCTGAGACAAAAGTGTGATAGTTGCTCGACTAGGCGAAGTTGCAGTACAAATTGACAAATTCCCTTTCTTGTTTGGAATTAAATTGGGCAAGACTATTTTATGCATAATAGACAATTTATCTCAAAAGGTTTTTTAAGATAAATTGTCTACCATGCATAAATTTTATATTAAAAAAGTTTGTAAAAGGTTACACTTTTAGCTAGTGAAGGTCAGAAAGTTGTTTAAAGAACTTTGATTACATTGAAATCTATCCAATCTAAAAATTCATTGAGCTATTGTGGAAACGTATTTGAATCAAAAGAAAATTGCTTCAACTAGAAAAACCTGCTTTTCCCTGCCATTGCAAAGTATCTCATTATTTTAAAATAGGTACATCTGCATCAGTATTATCTGAAAATTCTAGTTTTGACTTTTTCAAAAAGATATATTTTGAATCTATAGAAATGACAATTGGCAGTATTCAATATAGATTTGAACCACAAGGATATTTAATGCTTCAAAAGATAGAATCAGTACTTATAATTGTTTCATCTGAAGGTAATTCAATAAATAAAGAAGTTCTTGCTTTCTATGCTACATATTTAAATGCTTCAAGACAATTACAAGTTATGCACGAATTCACAACTGAACCATTAGACACTCTACAAAAAGTCCTTAATTTTGTCAGGTAAGATATGAATGGATTTCCTATAAACCTCATTGTTATTTATTTAATAATTACGACTGCAGTGTATCTCAAATTGACAATCATATGCACTACAATGCATATTTGTATGCTAATATAACACTTTTTTTTGTGTTTTACAGAGAAGCAAATGAAGTTGGAAAGGAATCATTATCAGAAATCAGGAAGTTGATAAAACTTATCCTTCTAATAGTAGCAGCAAACGCTATTAGCAAGAGAGCTTTCAATACACTAAGAAAAATCAAAACTTGGTTAAGAAGCATCATGAACCAAGCATGGTTAATCATAGATATAGCCATTAATTTTTGAAGCGGAAGTGAAGGTATAAAAACTGTATGTGGACAATTTAAAAAAAAAAATCTTGAAACTGCTATAATGTTTTATAAAGGTCTTATACTATATAAAACTTGAAGTTTGTAAAAATAGACAAATTTTGTTTTCCGTTTCTGATCTATATTTTTATTTCCGAATCACTTACGCATTCAAAAATATTATATTTTAAGGCCAAATTTATACTAAGTAATAAATTACCAGGGCTTAATTTAACAGTCGGACATTGTACATTGTCCGGCTAAAACCTCAGATTGTCCGATCAATTTACAAAGTCATCGGACATTTTGTCCGGCAAGATTATTAATTCTTTAAAATAAAATTTGATAATGTTTTTATAAGCAATTTAAAAACATTTATAAAAGGTTTTTTAAATATCTGTAACTAATTTCTTCAATTGTAAAACAACTATTTAAAAATACTTCACAATTAAACAAGTAATAAAAATAAAAATGCCTCAAATAATTGTGAGCTTTAGTAAATATTATATTTTTATTTCCGAATCACTTACGCATTCAAAAATATTATATTTTAAGGCCAAATTTATACTAAGTAATAAATTACCAGGGCTTAATTTAACAGTCGGACATTGTACATTGTCCGGCTAAAACCTCAGATTGTCCGATCAATTTACAAAGTCATCGGACATTTTGTCCGGCAAGATTATTAATTCTTTAAAATAAAATTTTATTTGTTGATTTGAAATTGACAAATTTAAACTTAATGTAAACTATTAGAAAAACTTATAAAAAATGTTGATAATGGAGGCATTCATTCCCAAAAAAAGGGCTGTTATTAATTGTAGTTTTAATGACTGTTCTTTAACAGTTTTATTGTTATATTATTAAATTTAAAATTATTACTTATTTAAAACGATCGCAAAAGTCAAAGTATGTTCGATTGATTACTGCAAACACCGTGTACACCGAAAAGCAAAGAAAAGCCAGCAGTTTGAAAAATTTGATAATAAAAGATTTTACAAATGTGTTTTTTAGAGGCTGAGATCTCATCGATGGAATATTTTTAAAAAAACATTAAGAAAATATACATTTAAATATTAACGTTATAATCATCTAAATCATTCTATTTTAGCTTGAGCGGTTTCTCGGTGGCATCCTGGTCCTACTCGAGTTTTCCGATTCTTTATTTATTATTTGTTTTTAAACTATATCTTTATTTGTATTTTTTTTCTTATTATTTATTTTATATATATATATATATATTATATATATATATATATATATATATATATATATATATATATATTTATATATATATATATATATATATATATATATATATATATATATATATATATATATATATATATATATATATATATATATATATATATATATATATATATATATATATATATATATATATATATATATATATATATATATATATATATATATATATATATATATATATATATATATATATATATATATATATATAAAAGATTAAAAAGTTCTAGCTTTATAAAACTTGTCTGCCAAAGAAGAAGTGCCTTTTTGAAAAGTAGATAAATAATAACCTGTAGAACATAAAATTTAACCGCCTTTAAATAAGTAAAAGCGAAGTTTAAATTTTTTATATCAAGTTTAAAAATAATGTTTATCTTAATATTTAATATATTAAAGACATTATTATACTATATTACTATAACAAACTTGTTTTCTTGCCGTTTTTATTATTGATAAAAATAGTTACATGAACGCCATATAAATACCTTTTTGGCGCTAAAAGTGGAACTTTGCGCAAAATTGACACTTAGCATATATTTTTTTAAGTAAAATAATTTGCATAACTTTTATAAACCGGTAATGCAATTCAATGTAAACTAACAAGGTTTTCGAGAGAAAAAAACTCAATAAAACTTCAAGTCTATCTAAAAAAATGCGCAGTATTGAATTTAAACTAACTCATTTAAAATACAAAGATCTACGATGATAAAAATTCTAAATATTAAAAAAAAAACTGCAACTTCACTAGCCTAAAATGAAATAAACTGAGAAAACATAACATATATTTCGCTTAGATAATTGGGTTCCGTAAAACTCAGATATGCCAAAAGCTAGTCTAAAAAAACCCATCTGCAGTACTTTTTACTCTCGGCATTTAAAGAACTCTTATTTAAAAAATCTTTTTCCTGTGTTCCTTTTAACAAAACAAATATGAATATATGTTAATATTGGTGAAAATTATTTGTTTAAATTTTTATTCCAAAAATTTGATCGGACAATGTCCGACCAAAATAACTTTTAGTTGGACATTTCGTCCGGGACCTTATAAAAAATTAAATTAAGCCCTGAATTACCTCTAAAACCTACGAAAAATCACATCTAAAAAAAGCTAGTGTAATACTTAAAACTTCTTTTAATTTATGTGTACTTACAATTAAATTAATTATTTGATTTTGTTTTTTAGTAAAATACCCAAGAGTCTTCGATTCTGTATAATCTACAGTTTTTTTTTGCATAACACATTTTTAAGAAAAAGCTTCACTATTTACATGTTAATATGGTTAAATCTGTTCAGAAAATATTGTCAATAATAGTTTATTAATGAACTATATGATTAAAAAGTCTACACCTTTTTAACATTTAAAACCATAACAAAAAAATTTTCAAAGTTTATCATTAGATTAAAAGCAACTATGTAAATTTATTATTCAAATATATATATATATATATATATATATATATATATATATATATATATATATATATATATATATATATATATTATAAGTAACTCACAACCCGTGAGTTACTTAATTATGTGGTTATGTTTAGTTTATTTGCCGTAGTGGTGTAATGGTAGAGCGCTTGCTTTATAAGCAAGAAGTTCAAAGTTCAATCCCTATCAAATCCCTGATAGTACCACGCTCAATTTGTTTCTTTGCATCTTTTAGAGTTATAGAGTTAGTGAGAGGTGACCACAATTTTAAATTATTTAATTTAACTAGTTTACATTAAATAATTTTTTTAAAGTTAGAAAATAATTATTCGGAATTAGGGTCGGCATTTGACAACGCTGACCTTAATTGAATATAAAAATTGCCGACCTTGTTTCTGTTTTATGGTAAGACCTTTGAATCAAATTTTTTTTGCCAACCTGATGCTGACCTCTAAAAGATTTAAGTCTGCAAAATATTGCTGACCTCATTTTTCCTAATTTCAAGGGTTATATATATATATATATATATATATATATATATATATATATATATATATATATATATATATATATATATATATATATATATATATAACCCTTGAAATTAGGAAAAATGAGGTCGGCTATATTTTGCAGACCTAAATCTTAGAGGTCGGCAAAAAAAATTTGATTCAAAGGTCTTACCATAAAACAGAAACAAGGTCGGCAATTTTTATATTCAATTAAGGTCAGCGTTGTCAAATGCCGACCCTAATTCCGATTAATTATTTTCTAACTTTAAAAAAATTATTTAATGTAAACTAGTTAAATTAAATAATTTAAAATTGTGGTCACCTCTCACTAACTCTATAACTCTAAAAGATGCAAAGAAACAAATTGAGTGTGGTACTACCAGGGATTTGATAGGGATTGAACTTTGAACTTCTTGCTTATAAAGCAAGCGCTCTACCATTACACCACTACGGCAAATAAACTAAATATAACCACATAATTAAGTAACTCACGGGTTGTGAGTTACTTAATTATGTGGGTATATTAAATTTACTTATCAGTTTTTTTTTATAATTTAAAATAATAATAATTCTTATAGAATATTTTATTATAGGTTATTATTGTTAAAGATTAATTCTTGATAATATTTCAGTTAATGTTAAGTTTACTGTTAGTTAAAAAAAATAGAGTTTCAGTTATTGTTTTGAGAAATGACTGATAAAAATAATTGTTTTTAAAATATTTTTGTATTACATACTATTAGCTCTTTAATTATAGAAAATGAAGTTTCAGGTTAAAAATAATAAAAATGTTAGTTGCCATATTTTTTATAATTTTTTTTTTTTTTAAGTTTTTTTTAAAAGCTACTCAATTGGAACAAATGACAAGTGATTATCAAGAGATTCAGCAGGAGAAAGAAATTTTAAAGGAGACTTTAAAGCGAAAAAGAGAGGTTTTTTTTAATGTTTTTGAAGTTCATTTTATTTGTATTTAAAAGTATTATTAATAATAATGACAAAAAATTTTTTCTTTTCTTTTTTTTTTTGAGAGTCATTGCTCTTATGTTTACTAACACAAGCCTTTTTTTTCTTCTTGATACTAATGTCTTTAGAATATTGGATTTTTGTTTTGTGAGGTCATAAATAAATTTTGTGAGGTCATACATAAATAAATTTTGTGAGGTCATGCATAAATAAATTTTGTGAGGTCATACATAAATAAATTTTGCGAGGTCATATGTAAATATTTGTTTCTCTAATGGTATTATGATCTAAATAAAGATGAATATAAAAATATATGTATATATATATATATATATATATATATATATATATATATATATATATATATATATATATATATATATATATATATATATATGTATATATATATATATATATATATATATATATATATATATATATATATATATATATACATATATGTATATATATATATATATATATATATATATATATATATATATATATATATATATATATATATATATATATATATATGTATATATATATATATATATATATATATATAGCATACATACATTATAATGTAGCAACCACCCATTGTTGGATTATATTTACTGCTTTTTTCCAACCGCTTTTTTTTTTTTTATTAAAAATCATTTTGAATTATTCTATTAGTTTAATTATTTTTAACAATTCTATTAACTTATTGTTTCGACTCTATTATTTTTGTTATTTATAGCCAATGTATAATTCTGTTAAAAAATATGTTACAATGATATTAATTTTGTATAGTTAGGTAAAATTATGTTACAAATAGGTAATTCCTGAACTACATAATCAAGTCAAACTCTATGAGGAAAAGTACAAAGACTTACAACAGTTAAAAGATATGGAGCAAAAAGTCCAAGAGTTGAAAAATGAATTAGCTTGGGCCATTGTTCGGGACAAACAAATTGTAAGTCATTTTTTGGTTTAATAAGATTTTGCAGTTTTATTTATGGTATCTTCTATATTTCAAAGTCAGGCCTGATGATACCTCCTGTATGTCACAGTTAGGTCTGATGATACCCTCCTATATGTCATAGTCAGGTCTGATGATACCGTTTATATAATGTCACAGTCACGTATGACATTTAAAACCAAAATTAATATTTAGTGAAATTCCTCTTTTTGCATTTAATAATTAAAAAAAATTACTGTCAAATAAATTTAGATGCTGCTTATTTTTGAGTTGTAGTTTTAGATAAAAATCTGAATTGATCTGTGGTTTTAGATAAACATCTCAATTGATCTGACTTGATTCTGTAATCTTGCTTATCTTAATAAGAATATAATTTTTTTTTCATTGTTTTGTTTAGTTATCCTACAAGGTATATTAAATTTTAGTTAAGAATTGCTCTTCTGTCCCTTCGTTTTATTAAGGCTGATTAAAAATCAATAACTTTAATATTAATCCAAAAATTTTAAATGTGTTTAAACTTTATTTGATATTATAAGTTTTTAGTTTGAGAAATAAAAAATCTTTTGAATGAAATTATATCTATTATTAAAATACTTTGATTCTTATTTTAAAATATTTAATTTTACTTTTATTAAAACCATTTTTATTTTTATAACACAACTTGGATTTTTTGCCATGTTTCCATATTATTTAGTTTTTTCAGTATATTTAAAATTTTTTTTTTTCTTACTATAGGAAGTTTCAGATATTGAACAAGAATTGCTTAGATACCAAGTCAAAGTCCCCAACTATAAAACTCATCTAACAGATACAGAGGTGTTTTTATTTGTTATTAGTGCATTTGACTAATTTTTATTTGATACTTTGAACGAACTTAACTTTTTTACATTTTAACAATTTGAATTTTAAATTCAGGCCAAACTTGATGCATCTCAAAAAAGTTTAGAGAAGCATCAAAAAGAAATAATTTTGTATGCAGATGAAGTAAATGTTATACTAAATGAAAAAATGCATTTGGAAAAAAATCAAAGAGAAATTCGTAATGTATTCAAACAAGCTCAGGTTTTAAAGCTTTTCATTTATAGTTGTGGTGTTAATGATATAAATAAAAGAAGAAAAAAATTGTTAATGATTGGGTTCACTTTACTTTACAGAATGCATGCAAAGAAATTGAATCACAAATCAAGCAGGTAATGGTTGATAAAGAATCATTAATCAAGGAAATTGAAACCATTCGAAATGCGTAAGCCGTTTTAATATTTTGTATGTTTAAAGTATTAGTAATTAAAAAAAACTTTTTTTGAAGTTTTAGGGGTATAATCAAAAACTTTATTAAACTTTATTAAATTTGGTAATAGTGTGGTGGTAGAGCCCTTGTTTATCCAATCAAAATTTATGCTAATCAAATTTTGCTTGGATAAATTTGATTTTTAATCATTGCGTTAAAAAAAAAAGTTTTATCTAAAGTCTTTTTCTAAAAAAAATGTTTCAAATAAGTAAAACGACAGATTGCTTCAAAAAAAAAGTTTTACCTGAAGTCTCTTTCTAAACAAAGCGTTTTATGTAATCAAAAAGACAGATTGCTTCAAAATATTGTAATTTCCTTTTTTATATTTATTTTTAATCATTATTCAAGCTATCAAGAAGGCTATTCAAGATTTAATTTTTTTTTTTTTCACTTTTCTTTAATGAAGTCAAGAATAAATCTTCTTTTAAAGTGCCAATCAGTAGAAGTTCAGTTAAATTCTTAAGGTTTAACGACTCTAAAGATAAACAGGCTAAAGGAATACTGCTACCTAAAAGGCTTTATAAAAAACAAACTGGGTGATCAAATTTTGAAATTTTCTGCTTTACTCTAAAACGCAGTGAATAGCTAGTTAAAAAAAATTCTAGAAGCAGTTAATAAGTATACCTCAAAGAGGTTGAATGATTGTATTATTCTTGCTAGAGTATTTTGGCAAAAGTTAGCTTCAGGACTTCAAAAAAGAGAAAAGTATTATGTGTTTGGTTCATGATGGAATATGATTAATATTAGCTTTTTAATTAAGTTGTTGCAGTTGGAAAATGGAAAAAACCCATTTAATTTCAACAGTAGATGTATACTTAATTATTTAAACCATATACAAAATGAAGGTTCGCATAGTTTAAAAATATTTTGCAAAATTATTGTCCAATTATTTGTCTAAAAAGTTGAAACTATGGAATATAGTTGAAACCAGCTACAAAAACAAATGGATAATAATGGAAGAGCAGCAAACTTTACATCAGGTGTGCAATGAGTTCTATTTTAGTTTGATTAAAATTACAAGGCAGCTCATTTAGCTGTGAACTAGACATTATTGAAGTAGATAAAGAAATGTTAAAATGAAAAAATGGATACAAGTAGGTCATTGTCGTGTAGGTCTATTCTGTTTAAATACATGATTGTTGATATAAAAATACAAATCTCCATCTTATGTCTACTGAAGAACAGGCTCATAACCTAGATGTTCTACATGGAAAGTTCCTGCAGCAATCCTCTATCATATATGATGACTTTTATAATTATTTTCTATTTTCAATAGTAAAAATAACAAACTGTATGAATTATTTTCATATATAATGCTTAATTTTTTTTGTTACTTATAAATCAATGTATATTATTGATAAATTAAACAGATTTCTACTTCTCTACTTTTCTTATACTTAATGATAATAATAATTTTATCTATTTTTAACAATGCCTTTTTTTTTGTCTATATATTCACTTTTATTAAAATCGAAGTAGAAAGCTAAATAATTAAAATGAAAAAAAAATGATAATGATTTTCAGAATCAGCATGAAAAACTAATTAAGAAAAATTGGTTAAACTATAAAAAATCTAAAAAAAGATGATTATGGACCCCTAATATTAGATGAACAATGGGTATGTGGCTAGACAAAAGAGTTCTGCTTATCCCTAAAGTTATTGCTTAGGAGATCTTTTATTAGATAGCTGGATGTACTTAACAAGTACCTAAGATGAGTATTTTTATTCAGCCCTTTTATCTAGCCCTTACTCACAGTATACTGTGAGTGAGGGCTATATGTCACTAACTTACCCAGTCCAGAGTAAGTAACAGTACGTGACATGCAATGTCTCTGTTACTGTTTTCTTAGTGAGAAAACAGTAATGTATGTATGTATGTTTTATCTAGCCCTTACTCAATCAAGAGCCCAAGGCAGTGATATTGAGTCAGAGTTAGCTTCTTGTAACCTTTACCCAGAAAAGTTAATTCTACAAGCCAGGTGCTAGGATTGTACTGGATTTCATGTTACCAGTACCAGGGTGATTGTGGCGATCCTGAACCTGATCTGTCCTAAAGTAGTTAAAAAAGTTACTTTTGTAAGCAATACTCTAACATATAGTTCAGTAGAATTTGAGTATACATTAAGAAAAACATTTTATCTAAGGGAAACCAATAATTATGTTAACATTTGGTTATTCGGTTGTAATCAATCATTAAGCACACCCTACCAGATTTCAGACAGAATTCTAATATCCACATATAGTAGCTCACAGGTGAGCTTACAATGTGCCAGATATTCAAACAGCACACAAACATGCATATAGTAACTTACAAGTGAGTGAACACTGCACTAGAGGTTCAGACAGAACCATGCATAACTTACTGTGAGTTAATATTAAAAAAATCATTAACATAGCTAAAAAACACTTACCAAAATTGCATAAATTTCATAGTGTTTAATAAAAACATTTTAAAAGTTAGGTATACATAACATGTGTACCTAACTTTTAAAAGTTAGGTACCTAACATCAAAAATTTTATCACTCCCCACAATCAAAAATCTAGTTCTAACAACCCAATCAACCAATCAGTTGCTGAAAAGTTTTCCAATGCTCTTTAAAAAGAAAATACTTTCCAAAAATATAAAATAAACAACTGCAACATAAAAACTTCACAACAAGATAAAAGATTTGATATATTGAACTAACAGAGAATACTTAAAAAAGAACATTAGCACATGCACAAAAATTTGTTTTAATAAAAGAGTAAAGCAAAACTCAACATAGTTTTCTAAATTTATGTAAAAAATTAAAATAAAGGAATATACAAATTTTATGATAACATGGAAAGTTATCAATTAGGCATAATAGTTTAAACCCAGATAAAAATGCAATCTTTGCCTAATTGAAAAGTACCACATAACAACATCAAAATCAAAGTTATTAAATATAAGAAATGACCTGATATCTAAATGTTGCTATAAAAACAAATTTTTTTTAAACAATGGTATAGAGTGCTCATTGTTTAAAAAATATTTGTTTCCATTTTTGTTAAAATATTATATACTAGCTGAGATCAGACCCATAAAAATACGGGTCTTTATAAGTGTATTCCAAACCAAACTTTTCTTTACTTTTTCTTTTTTGTATCCTAGCTTTCCGAATCCATAAAATACTGGTCTTTACCAAACCTACTATTTCTATACACATCTATTCCACACCGATTATTTATATACCTATTCCTTATTTACTTCAATATTTTTTAGTAAAACAATTTTATCTGAAAAAACATTTAAGAGCAAAAAACTTAACATGTACACCTTTTCCGCATACGTAGAGCTTATAAGAGACTTATAATTAGGTTTTTTTTTTCAGCTTAAGGCATTTCATTGATAGCTCTGTGGTTAAATGTGCTTTCATCAGTCTTGTTTTGGAGGGTTTATGACCACCTCTTAGCGTAATAAATTTTGAAATTTTTTCAATCTTGCTCATATTTTTATAGCAAAAAAAGTAATAATTTAGCAAAAAAATAATAATATAGCAAAAAAATAATAGTATAGAAAAAAAGATTTCTAATATTTCAAATAAAATTTTAAAGTTTTCTCATTTTATTGATATATTATACGCAATTATTCCATATAATGTCTGCTAACTCTATATATGCTTAAGGCATTTATGCTTGCAGATGTTTGTACGTAATGCTATATAATTGGAACTGAAAAGATCTTAGACCACTAAAACATAGTTATAAAAAAAAAGTTCATTCTTATGATTACAATCAAAAACTAAAGAATAACATTAAACGCTAATCTAAAAGGTAAGCTAAAAAACCTTTGCGCATTGATGTCGGTTTATGGCAAAATAAACCCTCATGCGTCAAGTTTCCTTTTGCATTTATCTTACATTTTTAAATTAATTTTAATTATGTTGCATACAATTGCATAAAAGTATATAAAACTGGTACAGATGTATCATTTCATGGATAAAAGATTGTATTTGTTACAATAGTAATAAACAAATAGTTTTTGTCTTTATTAAAATATATCCCACAAAAATATATTCCATATATCTTTTATGCAAGGAATTTTTTTTTTTAATTTAAATAAAAGCTTATTTCTAGTTTGTTTTTCTAGTTTTTTACTACAAAGTGAGGTCACAAATTGTGGCTTCGATTTACAAAAAAATTGGAGATTCAAATTTTTTACTTAGATGTCAATATGTTTTGTGTTTTTTCAATCTTTTCAATTTTTTTAAATATAATGACATACTTACAAAAAATTAAAAGCTTGAGCAAAAAAGACTTTTATTTTGACCATTCAGCTGCCTTGATAAGAACATCTTTAAGAGTTGTTATAGAATTGTGGTTGTATATTTGAATGATGATTTTAGTATCATCATTCAAACAATTCAGATAAGTTAGTTAAGTTTTTTGGTAAGTCATTGATATAAATGACAAAAAGAAGTGGACCTAACCCGGACCCTTGTGGAATACCACTACAAACATCTTACCAATCTGACTCAATTTGGCTAATTACAACTTTTTGCTTCCTATTTTCTAAAAAAGATTTAGGTTTACTACTACTGTTTACGCCACTACGTCAATTGCAATGGCTGCCAAGGGTTCCATGTCAAATATGCTCGAATGACTACTATTAACTAAGTTCAGCAATAATATATAAAAGGCAAATATATATATATATATATATATATATATATATATTATATATATATATATATATATATATATATATATATCTATATATATATATACATATATATATACCTATATATATATCTATATATATATATATATATATATATATATATATATATATATATATATATATATATATATATATATATATATATATATATATATATATATATATATATATATATATATATATATATATATATATATATATATATAGATAGATAGATAGATAGATAGATAGATAGATAGATAGATAGTTAG